AATACGTATCAGTTAAATTTGAAGCGCTGACGCAATACGACTCACCACGTGTCGGATGTTGCCACACAAAGTGACGGAATATAGGGATTTGGTAGGTTTCCATTCTAAAGGCTTTTTAATAAATATGGCAACATTTTGTGACGTTTCATCGTTGCTGACGCATAGTGAAGTGTTTTGAGAGTCATGTGAATGCAACAGAACTTACGTAACGCATACGTTTTTTTTATAGTTTTTCATTTCTCAATGCGTCCTTAAAGTGTCGGAATATACCGTGTTTACCCTATATAATTTTACCATAATGATAATTTCATTTTGTTGAATAATAACTGTCAAATTATTGTCAAACAGGGCAATAACTGAATTAGGGACAATGGACAAGCAGGGCCTGCAGGGGTTAATTGGGACAGTCCTCCTAAGTCCTAGTACTCCTACATTTTGTAGAAATGTAGCAACTAAACTAATTGGAATATTGCAAAACTAAAAATAGTGTGGTAAATTTCAACATTTTTCTTATCTATATAGCTTATAGCCATAGTGGCAAACCAGAGTTTTTTTGGAATCAGTTCATTTTTAATTTCCTCATTTACTCAAGATTTAAACCAATTCCTTAAATATGATCATGCTGGTATCCAGGATACTTTACACCTACACGTCTACTTATAGGACTCAAAAATGAACTTGGGGGAGAATCTAAAAAACCCTCATTTTTGCCACTATGCTTATAGCATAGGCCTAAAGCAAGGTAAGCAATCATACTTCATACATATATGATATACTACTTCTAAAATATCCNCATGAAACCTTTCAATTTAGAACTTCAAGATTTTATAATGAATATCAGTAATACGTGGTAAAGGGAAAGCGTAAATTTTACACACTCCACTTTTTGATCACCAGAACACGAGTCGCAATAATAAGACACAACCAGACTCCAGTCAATCTCACGACACACTGCGTTTAAGGCTCACCCCAAAAAAGGTATTTACAGTAGAACCTTGGTTAGCAAAGGCTCCAGTTAACAAAAAAAGAAAAAAATCAAGTAACAACAAAAAATTTTTATTACATTTACCTTGCTCAGCAAAAAAATTTAACTTAATAAGAAATTAATGCATCATTGGTCATCACAAAATTGTCACAATTTTGGTGGAATTCTAACATATAACATATTCTTAGAATATCATAGCTATAATTGTTCACTAGGCAACTTAGGTAGAATGAAAAGTAATTAAACTAAACTTTATTTATTTCTCTAAAAAATATGATGGTTGACACTAAAATATTTATATTATATGTTTCATGTATGTTTTTTACAACCGTTTTTTGTTATAGTGAATTCACTTGACCCAATTAAAATGGTGCAAAATTGCAAGCCATCCTGTAAAGTGTAAGCTTACAGATACAGAAGAAATGCTATATGGTTGCTGAAATAAAGCTTGCAGTGGATAAGGTTGTTGTCAATGCTCAATGCATGTCCAATTCACCAATTGTCCATGGATACAGTAATATCACAACAATAATATGGTAATGTATTGTATGAATATGACAATATCATGTCAATAAATAATATAACAATTATCAATTAAAAAATTATATAATGATAAATAAAAACAATTAAAAATCACAGAAAATATCATTTATGCTTCATCTATATCACCTACAAAGGAAGAGGATTTCAGAGTACTGTTAATAATGGATGAGTACACTCTTCATGCTTCAATCGTTTTAAAATAAAGTTATATTTCAAGTGTCCCTTATTGCCCTGTTTTCTTGGGTAATTTGGGAGGCTTTTATTTTGCATCTGGCACCAAACAAATAGCATATGAAATTTTTTTGAAAATGTCATACAATAGCCCTCACAAAACCCTGTAAAATGAGCCCAAAACTCTTTTATTAAATGTTTTATGGTAAGAGGTTATTAATGAAAAACGCTCAAAACCTTCCCTTATTGCCCCATTTGACAGTATAATCCAGATAATTGTAATGATTAAGATTTAGACTACCTCTAAGCAACAGTAGATCCTTCCTTAGTTAAGGCTTAATCTTAACCACCTCCTAGGGTAAACGCGGTATATTCCGACACATTAAGTACGCATCAAGAAATGAAAAACTATAAAAAAAAACGTGTGCGTTCTGCAAGTTCTGTTGCCTTCACATGACTCTCAAAACACTTCACTACGCGTCAGCAACGATGAAACGTCACAAAATGTTGCCATATTTATTAAAAAGCCTTTAGAATGGAAACCTACCAAATCCCTATATTCCGTCACTTTGTGTGGCAATATTTGACACGTGGTGAGTCGTATTGCGTCAGCGCTTCAAATTTAGCTGATATGTATTGCCGACATCCACGTGTTCAAATTCCGTTTGCTGTGTGAGTACTGAGAAGAAACTGCAGTTTAGGTTAATAAAATGTTTCTGAACTTTAAAGCATGTTCAACTCTTGGCCTGTCTCTAAATTTAACATGATCAATTTTGTGTTTTGATAATGTTTATTTATTTTTGCAGGTATTGAAAGATGCATTTTGTTCAAAATAGATTATTTATTCAAACTAAGAGGATTTTACTGTTGCAGCATGCAAGATGTTATTCAGACTCTTCTCATACATCTGTGGACCAAACTCTAAGTGGTGACTCTCATAGGGATAAACAAAAAACAATTCCCTACAAAGATCTAAGTTGTGCAAGTCGAGAGCTTCTTGACAAAATCATAAGGGTTGACCATGCTGGTGAACTTGGTGCTGACAGAATATATGCAGGCCAGATATCAATACTCAGTAAGTAATTTGGGGGTGCTACTGCTCTGGGCATTTCTAAGTACTGATTTGATTTCCACCAAGTTCCATTTTAACTATGACTTCCTAGCTGCAGAATGTGCAGATTGTTCTCAAGCTTCAGTATGGCTATTCCTGAACAATTTGTCTATTCATTTATATTGTTCCTGTTAGAGCTTCACTACTAAACTTTTTGGCATTTTAATTTTTAAACTTAAGTATGTTTCTTATTGCAGGTTGGATAATATTATTTTAGAAAATGAAGTAACTTCTTAAAACAAAATGTAATGTTTATATACTACTAGCCTATAATTTGATTATGATTGATATTCAAAATTGTAAATAAAATCTGATGAAAATTTAAAATATTATTTTCTATAAAATCTTAGTATTTATAAATGTGGCAATTGAAATCACATAGCTTTCTATAAAAATGTATAATTCGATGTAAATTAAATTTAGACTTTGATACTATAGATAATTGAGATAGGATTGCAGCTTCTTTAACCCAATCATGACATGCCATGTCTGCCTCAGAGAACAGCAGCGTGGGACCTATCATCCAGCACATGTGGGACCAGGAGAAGGAGCACAAAGCCAAGTTTGAAGAACTCATCCCTTTGTATAGAGTGAGACCCTCTTTGCTGACACCTATCTGGAATGTTGCTGGCTTTGCTCTTGGGGCAGGTAGGGCTTTTGGTTGAAATGACAGCAAATTTTCATTCCAAATTAATAATTAGTTCTAAGTCCATGTTTTCTGAGCTACCGGTATATGTTAATTTACATAATCAATGGCTTAAGTGGTGCTCTAAAAACTACAAAATGCTTTAAAATCCATCATAATGAATTTTTTCTATTTTATAGGTTAGTATTTTTTTGTGTTAGTGTAGTGGAACTTTATTTCATCGTGTATCTCGGTAGAAGTTTGTCTAAATATTCTGTAGTTCATATTATTACATAACAATACTGCTAAAATGGTTTAATTATTTTAAAATCAAATATTCATAGTTTTTATTGCTTTGCAAGTGCCATGAAGCAAATCTGCCACTGAATTCAGAGTGGACCGTATTTTTGAGAATGCATTGGTGCCTTCTCAGGTACTGCACTGCTGGGAAAGGAGGCGGCCATGGCGTGCACTGTGGCAGTGGAATCAGTCATCACAGACCACTACAACAGCCAACTGAGGGCACTGCTTGCTCTGCCTGAGTATGGTGGGAAATTTCAAACCAGTTTCATTAGTCACATGTGATTGGAAAATGGAAATTATGTCGATTGAAGATATTTCATAGATTTTGCTTTTATTCTATATTCCTTCATAGATGTATATTTTTCCTAAAGAAATGACTCGTATACTGTGCATTGTGCAGTAGAAAATGTTCTCCAAATATTGCTGAGGTTATAGAAAATAATTTGCTTTCAACAAATGTGCTATTTAGTTATAATGTTCAAGACTGAATGACATGGTATAACAGAGAATCTGTGCTGAGCAGACAAGCATGAGGGCGTGCAGGAGTTGGTGCGTGTGATCAGCAAGTTCCGGGATGATGAGATGGAGCATCATGACACCGGCCTAGAGCACGATGCAGAGATGGCACCTGCATACCAAGTGCTCACGGCATTTGTCAAGCTGGGGTCACGGGCCGCTGTCTGGGTCGCTGAGAGGGTATAGGTTATATGAGGGGCCGCTGATAGGGTGTAGGTTGCTGAGAGGGTCTAGGCTGCCGTAAGGGTTTGATGATACCTGAGAGCGTCTAGGTTGCTATGAGGGGTCCCTGGCAAAGCCTGTGTTTCTGAGAGAGTCTGGCCACTCCATTTCTCATTTTTAAACTGGGGGCATTTTTGTTATTTGGTAAATTTGAAGTATTTTCTCGATCTGCCAGTTTTTGGATTGTATTCCATACTTTGAAAATTGTGTTGTTCAGCAGTAGAGTAGGTTTAGAATGATTAAAATTGTCAGTTCAATTCTATTATCGTTACAATTGAGTTTTGATTAAGCCAGGGCTTGGACCATTTGCAAAACTAAATGAGAATTTTTCTAATTTTAATTTTGTCTCGAACTCATTTGTGGAAGGTAACGACTTGCACGAATTGCCACTCAAAACAGATAGATTCTACTGAAGCAATAAATGAACACTGGTCTTCTCTAGTTAGCAAATTTTTCTAGGCTGTGATTTTGAATTAACGATTGTTTTGTTGTTCCTAATCTTAGTTATAGTAATGCTACTGCCTTCAAGGCCTTTATCATGTTACCAACGTCAGTTGGCACCGTACATAGAATTGAAAAATGTGATTAGGAGTCAAGATGCTTATCTCAACTCTTCGGACGTAATGAATTAAGATACTCCTGCGGGGGCTATGTGTGCACACCTGCATAAACCTGTGTCACCGCAAATTTAACTCAGAACCAATGAACTAGCTTAAGTCCATGTAAATTGTTATCGAATCGTAAAGTACTCATGTCTCGTCATTGCCCTCGTCTCTAACTGTAACCAAAGTCTGTACAGGAAATCACACTGGTGGCCCAGTGGTTACAGTTCAGAGTACCAAGATTGGAGCAGAGAGGCGCGGGTTCGATCCCGGCTCTGTGCGTCAGTTTCTGGTCAGAATCGGCAAGGAGGCCGGGCGGCTAAGCACAGCAGAATTGTTGCAGTGAGTTGCGAGTTCGAGACCGCAAAATGTTGTGAATGTTCTGCGATGTTAAGAATCGGCGACAGGCCTACGGCCTAATAACGCTGAAACCGCTATTATTATATTATTATTATTAAAACGAAAGAACATGATCTCAGTCCTCAAACAAAGTTACGTTAATACGAGTACGATATGCTAGTGACCGTTGTAAGTGGCGAAAGCGTTGAGCAGAGGGCCGAGTTGTGTTGAATTGTGAGTAAAGGGAACATGAGGATCGACTGCTGTTGCTGAATGATTTGTTTTGACGTGTTTGTTTACGTGATTTGGTAAGTGTGCGCGAAATTTTGTGTTGCATCAAATCGGGCTTAAAATCTACGTGAACAGGTTCCGTGTTTACAATTGCTCACGTTTATTTAATAATAGCATATTAACCCGGCGTTACTCAAGGTAGATCGGAAGATCTCATTTTCAGATTATTTTTCCTACTATCTTGAACGTTTTGCACTGAAGTATTGTAAATTAAATAAAGTTCAGCATTCATTTCATCATGGCATGTCGTTCAAGCCCTTATCTAGCTCCGACTGAGAAATTTCTAGTCGTTTTTTATTGTTACTAAGTTTCCTTCATGATCGTTCTATCAAGTGAAATACCAAATGAATTCCTGCATTTTCGTCGAAGCAGCAATGAACCGTGAACCCTCCTGAAGCGCTCGAGAATAGGGAACCCTATTGTTCTCTGTGGCCTGGAAACGAACTGCAGTTTTCCTCTAGTATTGTCTTTCTGCCTGATGTGGGTTCTCGTTTCGTGGTTTGCGGTTCTGTCTTCTCAATTTTTGTCCGGTTTATCATTAATTTGTCTGGCGAGGTTCACATGCAGAAGACAGTGCTACCAGATGCACAACTGACAGTAGCTCCGTGCATCGTTATTGGGAACAATTCATACAGAACTGCAGCAAAAGCCTTCCAAATTTAGTTTTACAATGTATTGTAATGAGTTTGGAAGGCAGCTTAGGGAATAAGATAATCATTTGACAATTTTGCACATTAAACTTTAACCATCAATTACTCGAAAGGCAATCTTATGATTTATACCAGTTCTCCATGTTGTTAGCTCCTCAAAAATTGATTACGCTTTGTTATGAACTCTGAGCACGCAGTGCCTATGAAATTCAAGTATTTTGTTGTATAAGTATTTCTTATTCTATTCGTGTGATCAGGATAGATTTGATCATCTGTAAATAAGGTTTCATTCCCGCAATCTTTATTCACGTGAACTTGCTGCTGCTTGAAATGAAGCGTCGCTAACAGAAACGACAAAAATCAAAGTTAAATTTTATATGTATACATAACACCATTAGATACACTTGAATTTGATACTAAATAGATTACATCGGTAGGTAACTCCATCGTAGTAAAATAAAATTTGGGTCAGAAGTGATTCGAATCGTAATGGCTAAAATCATACCAGCCCTCTTATCGCTACATGAACATGTATCTTCTATGCTAAGCTCGGTGCGTCGCCAAGATTGTGCAGAACTATGGTTATAGAACGGCTGACTAATTCGGAAGTAGTTCAGTCCTGAGTTACAACCCATCATTTCCTGGACGCCATAAATCTCACGAAGGATGAATAAACTCTGTGAATACATTTCCGTACGACCGTACCCAAGGATTCCACTCTGATGGAATCCTATTCAGTGTCCTGGGGGATTCATGCAGCCTCGCCTTAGTTGGTTGGAACAGATAAAATGTACAGAACAAAATTTTTTTCAAAGATCTAAGTTTTACTACTGAAGGTTCGCTTTAAGGTGACAAAACGATGGCTTGTTAAGATTCATATAAATTTGAACATTAAAATTCCTGTGAGTGGCTGAATGATGAAGTCATTCGAAGTTTATTATTTACAGCAGAATTTGAAATCTACGACCCCTTAGGTCCATTTTCGGGAGTGAGAAATCTCACTTCATTAACGAAACCTTCATACTATCTTGAAGGAATCTGACACCGCAATAATCACTGAACTCAAGTCCGTACATACAAATTTCATTTGCTGCTCTATGTAGATAGGTTAATTAGTATTATAGCGAGTTCCATTAGCCATTATTACAATTCAACACTATTTCAAGTTTCATGTCATGTATTCGGGTTGCAATTTTCAAAATATATGCACTGCGTGATTGTTCCATAGAAAGTAGCATCAGTTTTAACTTCCATACCTTTGAATTCAAACGGTGATGGCAGCACGTGATATATTGGACGACACTTACGACACCATGTGTAGTCAGCTTGGAAAGTAATTTGAATCTTCGTTCATACTACTAAGTGATAGAAGTTATTTCTTAATGTCGGTTACATAGTATTTCTTACACAATTATATTATTTTCATTAAGCATGGGAATATTTAAGACATAAAGACAGATCTCTATTGATACATTCGCATCGGTTTCTACACGGTTAAAATCTACAAGTAAATCAACGAGCTGCCACATTGCAACAAGACAGCCTCCGTTGTGACTTCACCAAAGACGCGCAATATTTTCTTAAACATCACTGGCGAAGATAATAATTTCATGTTCATTTCCATAACCAATTTTTCCTAATGTCGGAAATTTCACTTAAAATATCTGTAATGGAAAGATATTAAAGAGACTCGCTGTAGACTTAGTGGCTCCTACACGCACCCCTCACCAGTGGCTCCTACTCGCACCCCCTCATCAGTGGCTCCTACACGCACCTCTCATCAGTGGCTCCTACACGCACCCCTCATCAGTGGCTCCTACACGCACCCCTCATCAGTGGCTCCTACACGCACCCTTCATCAGTGGCTCCTACACGCACCCCTCATCAGTAACTCCTACACGCTCCCCTCATCAGAAAAATCACTCCAAATAAAAAAATGCTCGCGCTTAAAATTCGTCCAATATAACCTTCCGCCGTAATTGTTGTTTTACGATTAAAAATTCTTCCTGAAATGAAATCTTTGTCAACAAAACTTAATTTGCGGTGGCAACAGAACCTCCACTTTAAATCATTACTCAATTAAAGAACATATCCCAGTTCCAGTATTCTTCTGGTATCACCCATATCCTGAACTCAGGCATTATTTGGGTGTCAAACAATCCCAGCTCAGGCCTTATTGGATTCATTCTTCTCAAGCAGGCGATGTTCCCCGGCATTCCTTTCCTCCGATTTCGGCTTGGCCCATTCCTGGAGTTCGCCGGACGCAAAGATCACGTAGAAGATGAACTCAAAGAGGAAAATTCCCAGAGTGATGTAGAAAATTAACCGCCAGGCCTCCACAGTTTGCTGCAAAATAAAATAATTTTAGGAGATCCTTGGTTTGGAGACATGGTTAGTTAAAATACAATTAAAAATTTTTTCAGCCGCTTATTGTAAATTAAGCGAACAAGTTAGCTTCTGACACGTGAACGAAAAATTGACGATGTACATTTTGAAATAAACCAGTCCATAAGTGAGAGCAGAAGTGAAGACTCACGTTGTTGTGGGTTATGGCGCCAACGATCGAGGGCACTGCGATGCCGGGCAGCGTGGCGAAGGTGTTCGAGATGCCCATGAGGGTACCCGCAAAGGGTGGCGCGATGTCAATGTGGTTGGCCAGGAATCCCGAGTACATTCCACCGATGAACATCGTGCCCAGAGTGAGCAAGACGACGGCGAGCTCCGTATTGCAGCCCACGTACGTCACCAGCACCAGGCAGATAGCAGGCGGTACCGAAGCTGAAAGAAACAAGTCTTAGCAGGGGCAGTAGTGTCAAAAAGAGTTTAGAATTCCTAACACTGTCAGTCAATCACTGACAACTTTCCGAGCTAAATACAGAGATTACAGAGGAGAAATCGGCCGCTACGTGTAATTAGGCCGCTAAATATACACAAGCTGGTTTTGATACTACGACCCCCCACTTCTGGGAACAGAAGCGCGTCTCGTGGGTACACCACGAAAACATGCTCCGTAGTTTATATACACTTTCATTAACAAATCATTTATAAAATCAATCAATGCGTCGGACGTCTACTCAGAAAACACTACATAGGGCGAACCTACCGACGGAGGTAGCGAGTTTCCTGGCGACGGTCGTGGTGATGATGTTCTTGGAGAGCAGGAAGTCCAGGAGGCTGGCGAAAAGCATCGTGAACACCCACATGCACAGGAACGGTACGGCAGACAAGCCTGCGTTCTGCCCACACATGTACGTCATCAGAAAGGGAGACCGGATGAGGCGTGAGTTGAGTGGCTTGCTTAATAAAAGATTAGTTTGCAGACACGATTGTATGCTGATCGATAAATTTAACTTATGGTTTTGATGTTGCTTTGTGCGTCTCACTATCAGCTGAACGAGTAGCATCGCAGCACACTACTATACACACTTATTTTCATACTACTTTGATGTCGAACTTGAGGATGTAGCGCATGTAGGTGAACAATTAGCATGGTATCTTACTGATTTGATGTCGAACTTGAGGATGTAGCGCATGTAGGTGAACAATCAGCATGGTATCTTACTGATTTGATGTCGAACTTGAGGATGAAGCGAATGTAGGTTAACAATTAGCATGGTATCTTACTAATTTAATGTCGAACTTGAGGATGAAGCGAATGTAGGTTAACAATTAGCATGGTATCTTACTGATTTGATGTCGAACTTGAGGATGAAGCGAATGTAGGTTAACAATTAGCATGTTATCTTACTAATTTAATGTCGAACTCTAGGATGAAGCGAATGTAGGTTAACAATTAGCATGGTATCTTACTAATTTAATGTCGAACTTTAGGATGAAGCGAATGTAGGTTAACAATTAGCATGGTATCTTACTGATTTGATGTCGAACTTGAGGATGTAGCGCATGTAGGTCGGGAGCTTGACAAGCAGCATGTACCAACCCCAGTTACTGCATGTGTGTGCCACGATGATGGCAAACACAGGCATGCTCGTCCACACAGACTTCCACGGAATTTTCATCTTCTGCAAAAAGGAAAAGTGGAGGATGTCCATTATGAATTATTCTCAGATAATGAAACTCGAGAATATCAAATAATATTCTAGTGCGATATTTTTTAATGTTTAAGGTTGAAAGATGGGAATATTAAATGATATTCTTTTCTAATGTGTTATCATTCAATGCCTAAATGATGAAACTATGGAATATCATAAAATGGCTACTGCTCTCACCTTCGTTTAGTTAAACATAACTTCAACGATAATTGGTTACGAGCAAAAAAAAAAAACGCTTCTCTTGTATTAAAAATATCGAAATTGACATTGAAAATGACAAAGAATATATTACGCCAATTCCAGTAGAAAAAATATCACAGAAATTCAGTAACAGCAACTGAGTGTTGAGCCATCAACAGTTTGGGGAGCAAATTTCCATAAAAGCTCTAGACAATTAGTGATCAAGAATTTTAGAATAGAAATTTAGCTATCAATAATTTTGAAACAGAGATTTAGTGATCAATAATTTTGGAATAGAAATTTAGCGATCAAAAATTTTGTTCTGGAAATTTAGCGATCAAAAATTTTGTAACAGAGATTTAGGGATGAAGAGTAATGGGAGCGATGCTCACGGGAGCGTCGGGGCTGCCTCCTCCGATGGAGGACTCAATCATCTGCCGCTCAGAGCGGCTGATGCGCGGATGCTGCGACGGGGAATCGTACACGAAGAAGAGCCACAAGACGTACCACAAGATGCTCAGCGCGCCCTGGACGTAGAAGATGCTTTCCCAGTTGATAGTCGCGGCCAGGAGGCCGGAGAAAGGCATTGTTACCAACGTGCCCAGTGTCATGCCTGCACGAATATCGAATATAAGCACAAATGTATTTGGCATATGAGATAGTAGCGAGATAAGCGTTGAGTATTAAGAAGTTAGGCAAGTCGACGCTTTCAGAAATGGCACAATTTTCAATGCTCGTTGTGGGTCTTGAACACGCGACCACAGTCCAATATTTATTATGCACATCGACTATTTCGAACACAATAATTTTTACAGTCAGTTGCAAGCCCAAAATACACTATTCCACTTAAGGAGCTCTGAAGAAAACTTTATCCTCTTTAATTAACCTCAGTCAATGTCATTCACATCCAAAGGCCTGGGAACGAGAGTAACTGTTGGGGACAAGAACGATACGTCGTTCTCGTCCTGGGAACGAGAGTTGAACTTCCCTACTAGACGTCGTCGGGATAGGACGTACGTGTCGAGGCCGGCTCTCAGTGAAGTAAACAGTTGTTGGTAGACAAAGGGTGGATGTGCAAAAGAGCGGCCACTTAAGAGTCAAACTCTGACTAGCTAGGTTTGGGAATGAATATATAAACTTAATCGGTTTTTCAAGTCTAAAAATCGAGCAGTGTAATATCCAGACAACTTCATTAATAGGCGAAATGTAATACCAACGAAACCAAGTCTGGGATGGCTACTGAGATACAAAATCATACCTTATAGCAAGATTAACGTTGAACAATTTTCACAACGAGAGAATTAAATTAAATTCAGATTACAGCTAAAACGAGTTGAAAAATCAGGATACCGAGCCCATGAGAGAAGACATGATTTAGTAGTCCATGCAAGAGAATCCGTTATCACTTTTCACAAAACTTATTACTCTTCCATTATTACGGCTTCACAAAAACATTAGCAATTATTCTGTTACGTCTATACAGTACAGGTCTACTGCGGCTTCGTAAAGGTGTTAAGTAAAGTATTGATAATAATAAGGCTAGACAACGTTATTAGTAATGACCATATTTCAGCTCCATACAAGAATTAGTATTGATCGCAATCACTCAAAGTGAGAGGATATTAACAAGAGTTGTGATGAGGACGCACCGGCGTAGACGGTGGAGGCGATCTTGCTGCGCTCGGATGGGGGTGCCCACTTGGCTATGAGCACGTGCATAGCCGGCAGCGTCACGCCCTGGGCGAAAAAAGCAGCGAAATTGTAATTATTTTTAAATGTATAGTCCCAGCTCCGCGCAGTCGAGCAACGGCGTACAAGGGAACACGGAGTTGTAACTTTATCCAGGCCGGAAGGGTTCCATCCCGCATCCTTCATCCAGACTGAAAGTTTCACCGAGCTAAAATTACCGAGCATAGTTCGGCATTTCCGCAAGATCAAACGTCAAACACGCGACCAAAACACAAAAAACACGAAGAGATACCTAATTAAAAGCGGTAGAAAATTCTTATTCTTGATTTTCGCAAGTGGAAAAAATCAGCGTACGGAGAGTATGGCAGGCACTTAGGCGCCAATTAAATTTCCCAGCATCCCGTGTCATAAAAATGTATAAAGTGTTGTCTAAATAATGTAAAACGCATAGTTTTTTTTTCAAGCTGTCCACGGGGGTTGAAGTTTTAAGCAGCATTAATACGTCGCAGAAGACCGGTTGAAGTACTCGTATAAATATCTGGTCAGTCATTCCAATAGTAATGTTTGAATCTGAATAATTTGTTCGAGCTTCTTTGTATTTGTTCACTGTAGTTGACTCGCTTAGAGAGCCAACGCGTCGAAAGGCTTGGGTGAAGGTGGTAGCTAATAAAGCTACGCTACAAACTAAAAAAATAACTCCGATACTCAAAGATTACATCGTGAAACCAAAGGAAAAAAAGGCATTCATTGTAATTTAGAGCAATGAACGTAGGTAGAAAAACAATGTTGAAGCCACAAGAATGCTCTCTACTGTTAGTGGTTATGGATTTGGACGATAGCAGATATATTCCGCTTATAAATTTCAATTCTTTTATATTTGTACAGGATTTACAACCGAAGTTTCAATTTCTGACAAGTTTTGAAGGAACATTTTGTTAATGAAATTCAAATTTGTCTATCTTTGCTCACGAATTATCCTAGAAATTTATATTTCCCATAAATGTTGACAAGGAATGAGAATGTACGAAGAATGGGCAAGTACAAGAAATAGGAACGTACAAGGAATAGGAACGTATAACAAATGGGAATGTACAAGAAATGGGAATCTACAAGGCATGGTAATGCACAAGGAATGGGAATGTACGAGGAATGGGAATGTACGAGGAATGGGAATGTACGAGGAATGGGAATGTACAAGGAACGGGAATGTAGTACAAGGAATGGGAATGTGCGAGGAATGGAAATGTAAAACGAACGAGAATGTTCGTTTTACAATGTTCGTTCGAACGAGAAATGGGAATGTACAAGGCATGTGACTCACACCACCGATGCCCATGAGGATCCTGAGGGCGATGACGACGATGTAGGAGCCCTTGGCAGCGACGGGCGTCAGCAGCGCCCCCAGGATGTTGAGCAGAGCGCCACCTCCGAACACGTGCTTAGCGCTCATGTTCTCAGCCACCCAGCCACCTCCGACCTGCGGGCGACCACAGTCTTATTAACTTGCTCTATAAAATGACAAAGTGTTATTTTTTAACTAAAAATAACACAGTGTTATTAACTTGCTCTAAAATTATTAACTTAATTAAAAATTACAGACCCGAAGCCCCTCCTGCGACCGGAAGGCGCCGGAAAAATTCTCAACAAACCAATAAAATTTCAAATTAAGCCCAAAATTATGAACTCGCCTCATAAGCCCGCATCAAAATTACAGAATTTGGAAGTTGCACCAGAATTAGAAACAAACTCGCCCAAACTCATAATATCGCCCAAAATTAGAAATTCAAGCAAAAATTAGGAACTTGCTCGGTGCGACATGAGGGGGGACATGAAAATTAGAGCCCAGCCTGGATTATTTATCCTTGAGAGTTAGAAAGTTATCGTTACAGCATAAATTCAAGTACATTGAATACAATTGCCTGAAGGCAGAGAAATCATAAATAATTACAAAATAAAATTGATACGAAATATTCAAGAACTATCAATATTAGCAGACCCTTAATTTAGTGCTCCAGCTTGAAGAACCTTATGGCTTAAACAAAAGCCATATGCACTGGACTTAAAACTGCATTTAGAAAATTATCAAATTTTGAAAATTTACATCACCAAATCGCCCACCTACATTATCAAATTCAAAATAATGTTTCACAAGCTTCATGAATATTCTTTACTTATCACCAACTTGTACGGCATATACAGCGCTCAAAGCCACAATGTTATACAAGGTTTTAGATTTATGCTTCATAAATACATGATAATTATCATATGCTTCATAAATACATGATAATTATCATATGCTTCATAAATACATGATAATTATCATATGCTACATAAATACATGATAATTATCATCTCAGGTAAGCACAGCTCAAGACCTGCGTGAGGATGTAGCCGTAGAAGTAGCTCGCCAGCACGACGCCCTGCACGTTCTCGTCCCAGGCAAACGGACCGTCCTGCCCCACAAATGAATAATTTATCTATATATTTTAGACTATTACAAGAATAAAAAAAAGCTATAACGCAGTAAAACATAGCAATGTTTATAATTAAGTCTAAGCCGCCTGCCAAAGCTTACATATGCTTGACGAAGTAACAGTAATATAGTAAAACATAGTCATATTTTTTCAGACTTTAACAAGAAGTGAAAATTACAAGTCAGCTTAGATTTAGGCATCAAACTTGGTAAATTTCAATGAAGAAATCCTGTATAGAAATTAAAAATTATAAACAAAATATCGACATCAGCAAGATAGTTCCGGTGAAAGTATCAACTTCAAAGAAACTAGAACGGTACCTACATTTAGAAATCAGTATTAACATACATTACTTATATCAATTTATAATAAATTACGTAAGAGAAAAAAAAAATTTTCATCTTTGATAACAGAGTAACAAATCACTAAAAAATTCGGGCAATGTATTGTAAGTTTGTGCGCGGAAATAACAGTTACTGAAAAGCGGTTATGAATCATAAATTCAACTTTACCAACTATCAGCGTATATAAATATCATTCATGGAAATAGTATAATTTGTACGCAACCTACGAAATGGACACATTTACACGGAGTTTGTTGAACTGATTAACAATCTAGTAGAGTAAAGCCAACTAATTAAGAAACCTAATGTCTTTTAATTGTTAAATATCTTCCAATTTGATGACTTAATATTTAATAATTAAATAATAAGTGGCGTCTTTTGTATCTGACGCCACATACGTAATTTTGTTTCTCAAAACACGAGCCAGCTAGGAGATATACGGCACGATACGAGCACCAGGCTATATAATAAAATTTAACGTTACTTGGTATAATATTAAACAAGTATAATATAACATATCATGAAATAATGTTATACATAATGTTCTCTATAATATAATACATAATATAAAATAATGTAGTATAATAAGAATAAGAATCGAAAACGATATGTTAGAGAACTTAGAACGCCGGCTCCCAACCACAAGTTTCATCACTGGTGCTTTGAAGCAGTTTATAATAGCGGTTTCAGCGTTCATTAGGCCGTAGGCCTGACGCCGGTTCTTAACATCGCAGAATATTCACAGCTTGTTGCGGTCATGAACACGCAACTCACTGATCCAATCCTGGATCCAGGCCACAACCTAATTCTTCCAAAAACAGCTTAATTTTTTTCCGAAGAATTGAATGAAGTCTTATATTGAACATGATTTTGACATTATTGTAGATATAAGAGTCCTATTACCTATATGAAGGTGAATATTCTAGAGGTTTAGTTTCTCTAGAGTAACAGCCACGAATAGCAATACAAAATACACATATGTTCAATAAATGACATACTGAATTTCCTAATCATTATTTCAATTTTTTCTACATTAATTGAATTTCCGCTGTCATCATCGTTAGAGAACACCCTGGCGTTAGATAACACCCTGGCGTTAGAGAACACCCTGGCTTTAACACCCTGAAGGTGTGGGAGTTAGAGTTGTCGCGACGCATCGTCACATAGACGGCTAAGAGCGAGGCACCTTGCGGCGACCTCAGCTACAGAGCAGCAGGGCACTTACACGTGGCGCGGGCTAAATATACGCGGCGAGATGACAGCTCCGCTTGGCAGTAACTCCTCGTGCTTGTTCATCACTAGCGTATCTTTACAATAACTGCACTATATCATTCAATTTAAAGAGAAACATGATTACAAGTAACATTTATTGTCCCTGTTTTTCTGATGAGCGTATAGTTAGAAAGAGAAATAATATTAGTTGCCATCTGAAAATTTTTAGTAGTAGTTAAAAATAATGAACCCTCCAGTTGATTAATGCGTCGATAGAACAGAAATATTTCCCTCTGGTTAGTTACTGAGACTCACGTCAAGGTTCTCTTCGTGCTCTTCCACGCCGCACGCATTTTCGGAATCGTTCGTGGCGACGACTGCGTGGTGATCACCTGACTCTTCGTTGGCTGACAATACGGCCGTGTGGTTTACCTGTAATAAACGTGCGTTATCATTCCCGTCTAATCACATGCTTTTAATAACCAATAACTTTCAGCATCAGATTATCGAGCCCGTCTCACTCACGTACTTGACAAAAACAAATAAACTTAAACATATGAAAAAATTACGGTATGAGATCTATACATCTAAAGTATCGTGCTCTCCTTACTGCATCAGTTTTCGAGGAACTGCAAAACGTTAACGATTACTTATTACATCAATTTTACAAATCATAACTAAAAAATTATATAAGATGATGCGTTAAGAAAAAGTATCATTTAATGACAATATTATCAATATTGAGCCGCTGGAAAAGAAGCTGGCAGCGGTTCGATGGACAAGCCTATAAGAGAAGGTCACTTCATTGCGTGTATTTTGGCCGAGCCGATAACAGGCGTCGATATCAGACTGCCGATGTTACAAGATGAGACACAATCGGCCTAATACAGTATCAATATACAGTATGTAGTAGTATTTATACAGTATGTTGAACATCTAATTTCTAGGAAACATAACTTGAAACGTTGCAGATCGATCATCGTTGATTCACGAGCGTAATTATCTCTATGTGAAACAATCGGCTTCATATTTGTGCAACATCAAATTTGGTCATCTAATTTCTAAGTCACATAGTTTGAAACGAAACGTGTAAAATCATCAATGATTCACGAGCATAATTGTCTCTATGGGAACATCATCGTCTCAAGTTATTTCCTAAGTAACATTGTTAGAATAGTAGCATATCATTAGTAATTAATGAGCGGAATTGTCTGCGTTTAAGCTATCAACTCAACAATCTGAAGCAAGTATTTATTAAATACACTGATCAACATGATTTGTTAGAACTTAATGATTACAAAAGAACAAATTATGATGTGAATTTCTCGAACTTTTTGGGCTTAATATCATGTGAAAACGAGACAAGTTTTCACATGACGGCTGCTTTTCACCCCCTAATTTAATTTAGTTCGAGCAATTGCAACTCTTCAATTACATTCCCTGGCGTTCGTTTGAATACGCGAATTCAAACGAACGTTCAATTACGTTCATTGAATTTCTGACGATCGAATTCTCTCTAATGACATATCATTTATCATGACAAATCAGCAAACGAGGCAAAAGCAGTGTCCTACGCACAACGTGTCATTTTTTTGTGTTCATTTACGAGCGTTTGTGGTCTTCCTTTAATCTGTGGTCTGTACAAAATTGGCATTAAAAAAATGCAAAACAACGCTGAAACGTTCGGGCCGGGAACGTAAACGTCATCGTTTTTTGTGGCGCAGCGTAAAAACAACAGCCAAGCTTTTAAACAATGCAGGCGACCAATGCCACTTAAAGACCAATAATAATATAAAACTCCGGTCTGGGTGCATCATGATTCTCGATTTTAATTTGAAAATAGCAGCTAGGGCATTAGCGCGTTCAAATTCCAACAGATAGTCATTTAATATTATACTTCCAAATAAATTCATGAACAGAAGGAAAATTGGCTTCGACGATAATCACGTATCTCACTGGCATATTAATGATACCGACAAGGTGTCTGTAAACGCTCGATGTATTTCAGCTAACGAACTTGTAGTGGTTTGAATTGCACCTTAAGAATTTGTTAACCCCTTGGCTTCAGCGTTAGTAGGCACAAGGTTTATTTAAACGTTTTCCACTTGCATTTTTTGCGATACTTTTTTGGTAATTCTAAAATCTTCCCTCAAACCAACCATTGTGGAACAGATGCTATTGTTTCAGTCGATTTTTTTAATGCTGCATGCGGCTCGGAATGTTGAGGCTTAGCAACAGAAAATGAACTCAAATGTCTGCTGTCTCGTTAACATTAAACCTACAAACGTCTTTTGCATAATATTAACTGCAGGTATCAATGCAATAAATTTATGAGAGTTTTTGCCTGAGCAAAACATGAGCCAGGCTATGCCCAGCGAGAATTGAAGGGATGCGAGGAGCCGATCTAAATTTATTGCAATCAAACCAATTGGGGCAAATGCGCTCAATCTTTGGCGTCGCTTGAACCAACGATGATAGCGAACACTCACCATGGCGATGATAGCGACACTCACCATGGCGATGATAGCAACACTCAGGTTCACTTTCAGCCCGTAGACGATCATGAAGCCCACGCAGCCAAGTACGGCGAAGATCCATCTTGACGCCACACAGTCTGCGGGCAAAAAGTTTCACATCTAATTACTATAAAGCAAGAAAATACGAGTATAATACATGTGAATAATATACCACTATTTGGGATATCTCGTACAGCGAACAGAAGCAAAATGGAATGAGTTGTTACGCACCCACGGGAGCCATAATATCGCATATTATTTGTGGCTGTTCTCGTTATGGTTGCCAAATTTCTCTCATAATTGTACGGCCTCTATGATTGTAGTCCAACAATGCAAAAATATATAAAACCACCATAGGGCAAAATAAAAAGCCCTACGATGAACAGCGAAATCCACAATTAATTCTAGCCCAACATACAATACGTCACTTTGCCTCGTCGTGAGCGGTCGTTTCAAACTCACACGCGCACGAGCGCTACTGAAATTTTTATCGCAAGATTGTAAACGTGCGGGAGGGAATTTATTTTTAGACCGATGGCCGGACACACATATTTCAGTGAGACAAATCCTAACTCAGGTTTCAACGGTTAAAAAGGCAATACATATATAATTTTACTGGATCTATTTACCAAGTATAATAAAAAAACTATACCTCATGATCAAGGCAAATTTCCAATTGAACTAGACACGAAACGATCGTTTTAATTCCACTATTTCATCTCAGTAAAGTGAGTTGAAATAGGCACTAGGCATGCGGCGTTATAAAAACTTTCTGATGTATATCGGAAGCTCATCATTCTCTAAACCGCCCAATTTTACCATCATTACCTGAAAACAAATTTCCTTCTAAAAATATAATTTATTGGAAGGAAAAAACGGTTGTAATTCATAAATTAATAAATTAATAATCAATATTCAATTCATGATGTAAAAGGTCCAACGAGCTTCTTTTGAACGCGAAGTTATGGATTCAAACGCAACAAGGAATTTTTTTAGATTTTTATCAATAATTTTTTATTTTATATATACATATTTTTCTTCAAACGATCACAATAATTGCTGAGCTTTGATTTCATCCAAGCCGTGCGAAAAGACGTAAATAAAAATGAAAATAGATGAAACATTAAGAGTAAGCACACAAAGAGCAGTCGATACCAAGCACGATTAGGAATCTTTTTCTCGTAATTTACAAATTGAGAACTAATGTAACAAAGAATTGTAAAGCCATGTACATGGCTACAGAAAAAAGCTCAACTATTACATGCGTTCAATATAAAAAGAGAAGATGATATCGTTCAAGATGAAACCTTATTCCATTACTGTCATTAATGAAATCCATTGTAAACTAATAAATAGAATCTATTATCTAATATCTTTTATAGGTACTGCAATTATGACTTCATTATTATTATTATATTCTGGGATGTAATATCCAGCAATTAAGTGAAAAATAAGGCAGTATGACACGTGCGGCGCTTAACTGTCCTTGACAAACACGTCGCGGCGACGCCGATGTTCTAAACAAGGCAGCGTCGGCAACTGCCGGCGCAACATGGCATCTTGAGAAGACGTATCACGCCCCTATATTATGCAAATGTTGATCCTGATAACTTTTTGTCGTCGTTATACTCGTGAAAAGTAACTGATCAAATCAACGCTTTGTTAACTTCAATTCATTGCAGCATGAGTGTATAAATAGCATGTTGTGGTTCGATTTATCGTATCCAAATTAAATCTCGAGAGAAACAATAAACTGTGATTATTAAATCAGTTTTGACTCTTCTATTTTAAATCTAATTTTGAGTTTATTTTTCACCAGACGGTAAGCTCTTTCTACACAAGACCGAGCATTCTTTCTGCAACAAAAGGTAAGCGTTTTGTGCGCAAGAAGGTAGAAGCTACCTTTAAATTTCGGAACCAGATTGTTAGCTAATAGTCCAGTAAATGTTGCTGTTATCTAACAATAACGCCGGCAATTGACACGGGCCTTCAACAAAGAAGCGTACGAAGAACAATAGGTTCCAGTCAAGTTGAATGCGTAAGACAACTCAGATGTAATGCGAAATATCAAATTTTATTGCTTATCCGTATAGGTTTAGTTTAGATACTTATTTGGAGACAATTAATATCTCATCATTACGAACAACTTTTTCATAAGCATGAATGAAAAGCGAAAGAAGTGTTACAATTATTGCGTAAATTCTTGCATGACGCGAATACTTTAAGATCTTTAACGTTAATTTTAATTCAATACAGTTGCGACGTGATAAAGATCATCAATGTTTTGGGGCCCAGCGTCGAGAGATTTGCCAACATTGCAATTCGTCGAGAACATATAGGCATAGGCGAGACGCGTTCACAAAATCTATACATGGAACGTGCAATGCTATCAAAACAAAATCACGTGAATAAAACTCCTAATTATTATAATGCAAGTGCAAATACTGATGCTAAGCATTCTATTTAGGCTTGTATGAAGCACACGTAGAATTGGTAGATAATGATGAAAGATGCGACAAAATGAGACGATAACTTATGCTACGAGACGTTAACTCATGCTAAGAGACAATAAATAATGATAAGAGACAATAAATTATGCTAAGAGACGATAAATAATGATATAAGACGATAACTTATGCTAAAAGACGATAACTTATGCGAACGAGATGACAACTTAAGCAGAGTGAACGGATGCCACTTAAGATAGTTCAGAGTTGTACAAACGAACGCATTACCTGGCTTGTGTGGCTCCTGGTTATCTGGTAAGCATTCGAGGCAAAGAGATAACATATCAGTAGCATTTATATATTATAACAATACAAATAATAAATTAGTAAAATCGTGTTCAATAAACAAAGAAGATATCGAGGAGGTTTCCTTGATTGGAAGTGACGCGTGCATTCGACTCCAAAGTTTTACTTTGTTAAGGTTAAAGTCTTTCCATCAGCGCAGTTAGTAATAAAAGATATTTCAAATCCGATCTAGGCAAAATTACCAATACAAGTTTTTAATGCTGGCGAGTACAGTTTTGTAGGTAAAGTATAGAAAATGTGGTTAAGATCAGGCTGTAACTGGTTAAAGAATAAGTGCCACCGTAAGCAACCGTAGCAGAGAACCTAAAAAAAAGGTTTCATTTGTGGAGGTGTGGAGGCAACCGTAGGCGTTCATTTGAAAGTCGTGGCAAATCTTTTGCAAAGCCTGATTAAGTCTGGGCATTGGATTTTCGTGTAGAGTAATGCCAGAATTTAGAAAACATATGATAACATTGCACTCGTTAAAATGTCTCTACTTTGAATGCTGCTTCATTCAGCTAATTACTTACTCTTCTATTCTCTTCACTGCATGCATGCACCCCAAATAAACAAAAAAAAAAGAAAATTTGTCAATTTAATTTCAAATAATCGAAGTATAAATTTTAGACAAGGGAATATTGAATACTCAAATCGTGATGCACGGTTTAACGATTTGAAAACATCCGTTGTAAGAGCATCACAACATATATTACGCAATAAAATAACTGGGCAAATGCGATACCTGAATATTGAAAACAACAGTAAAATGAGCTCAAGTTCTGAAAAGTTCTCAGATTCTTAGTAACACGAGAAAAAAAAGTCGAATAGCAGGCGTGATCTCCCATAGCAACAAACATAAACTGGTAATTCAAAGCCTCTTACACGTGCTGCTTCGTCCCATGAAGCTACCAACCAAGCTTCGATCAAGGCAACTAAGCTTCAGTGTGGCCTGTCAGTCACCACAAACGCTTCCTTCACTCACGAAACTTTAGAAGTGAATAATGTTTGCACATGTCAGTTCAAGCACTCGCCAGCAACTCAACATTCATTGATACTATTCATGAAACCGAAAGACGCGCTACCGAAGTAGGTGCGTACTGCGAGTTATGGATGCTGCTGTATTCATGCGTTTGTAAATAATTCAGCAATAACAAAATGGCAGGAAGGATGCTCTGACACGCCACAGATGAATTATAATTTCATTTCCATTCAGCTGGGTAATTCTTCCAAGCATAGTATACTATTCAAATTTCTGATATAAAAAAAAATATTGTTTTGTTTGTTGAAATTAGTACTAAAATTTCGTCACACATGAATGCAAGCTATTGTATCCTTTCAGTCGAAACATTCAGCAGCGTTCGAGATTTTTGCTTTGCGAATAGTCATAAGATTAAATTAAAACTTTAATAACTTACTTATTTACTAATATAAGTATTATTTATTCACTAATTTACTTCCAGGTAACTAATCCGCTAATTATATTTTCTGCAGAGTAACCATTATGTTAGTCTTGAATCCGTCCGTCAAGTAGTGAATTGAATTGCTGATGAATCTTTGCAAACGACAAACATTCTTAGATATTCTAAGAAATGCGCGAGACAAATGATACACAAGACAATATGAGCGCTGCTATATAGGTAGTATACGATATCACCAATTATAGGCATCCGTAAAAAAAAAACTCACCTGGTACAGCTTTCAGGGGCTGAGACTCCTCTGGCAGCATGAAAAATGGCATAGAAATTTAAGTTAGTTACCCATGTTACCTAATAAACAGAATTATCATTTATTTATGTCCGAGGTGCGCCGTAAACATGAAACTGCATGGTATCGAAACGTCCAAATATATAAGTGAGCAAATTCATTTATTCTTAGATTTAGTGTTGAATGTCGGGCATTAGCTCAGGGCCAATCTTATCCAGGGATTGCCGCAACGAGAGAGGTCTCCTTAACATAGAATTGTCGGCGGTGAAAAATAGCCTGGTATGGCCTTTAGCGTAAAGTCAAATGGACATGAAATCGCAACCGAAGCTTGTTCATCATTAAGAGTAATGTGTAAAAAATCTAGTAAGGTTGTTAATAGAAACACATTTCAACAATCAAGCACTCAAATACAATAATTTATTAGTTGATTCTGTGACAAGTACGCTGCCATGACCTGCAAATATATTGCGTGCTCTGATGCCGGCAACAAACTTCTCCTGGCTTACGGACGGAGGTTGGGGTGTGTCTAAGCGTAGTTCAGGTGCCGCTGTGACAATCGATAGCGAAGAGACCGCACCTCTCCTTCTGCTCTCGCGTCAGAGGCTTTGCGTTTGAAGAGCATCTATTCCAGCCACCTCACAGAGGCGATGCTTTAACAATGAGGCTATCTACTTCCATGTTCTTCTTGTACTTTCGTGTACTTCCTTATAATTCATGTACTTCTATGTACTTTATGCACTTCCATATACTTCATGTACTTTATGTACTTCTATGTACTTTTTTGTACTTTATGGTACTTTCACTTACTTCATGTACTTTATCCGACAATTGATTGTCAGACAAATCGCAGAAACTTTCTACTCCGCAAAATTGCTCGTAAAAACATATGCTTTCTTAGATCGCAAATGGAAACCATATGTGAGCCAAGAAGTGCTAAAAGAAATGCCGATTTTTCGCTAATTTCGTGTTGAAAATATAAAGAAGAGCAATATTGAGATTTTTCTGTCAATAACGTTCTACTGACGTATTGGTATCACCGTATCAGAGGTCTCAATGTGAGACTGATAGTACTTATGTAGGAAATTTAAAAAGAAGTAGAACTATTCTAAATATATAACTGATAAATATGCATTCAATCTTCATTCATATCTGAACACCTTTGACGATAAGACCTTCACAAACAAATCTAAGTGCATAAACAAGTGCGTCTTCATCTTAGTTGCCATAGATTGTGATATAATTGTGAGCTATCAGTAACGTGTATATATATACGTTGCTCGCTCTTATTGGGCAATTTACTAAACGTTATCTAGAAAAGATAGCGTGAGATAAATAACATTGCAGTGCGAAAATATGGACAAAAATTTTCAGGTCGTGTGAGACAATAAGATAAAAACTACAACACGGTGATATTACAGAATTCGATTTTTTTTCAAAAGCAATTCGATGCTTGCTATTCATAGAAATAGCCTTGTCCACCAACGTTTGGGGTAAGACCTTAAATAGGTCGTGTTATATTCATATTATTTGGAATATTTCCTTGTTTAATATTCTTCATTTAGTCGTGTAAAATCAGAAGGTTGGGTTAGTTAGGTTAGAAGAATATTATACAAGGAAATATTACAAATAATATGAATATAACACGACCTATTTAAGGTCTTACCCCAAACGTTGGTGGACAAGGCTGAAGTGAAATGACTATAGTAACTGAACTTACGAAGAAAGAAAAAGTCAATCTAAAGAAGTTCGGATGGTTGGTTGACTGCTAACTATTTGAGGAACAATGAACAAGAAAATAAATAATGAATATCGGTGATCACTTCAAACACTAACATCCTCAAAAGCCAGATAAAGCAAATTTGGTATTGTGGCGATTGATGTACTATAGAGGCAGAATTTCATCAAAATATCGTTAGAATTGTTACAAATAAGTGTAGTAAATGTCGAGTATTCTAAGAAAACGTAAAAATGTTTGCATAAAACAATTTTTAGAATATAATAACGATTTTAATTGCTGCTAGAAACGCAGTATTCATTAACATTGGCATCGTGAAAGCAACGATATTGAATTCTTCGGAATATTTTTTTTTATGTTGGATATTTTATGTAACACGTATGAAAGTCAAATTGCATGATAGCTTATGCTTGACGTTAACTTAACCTTTATATAAATTTCCTACATTTCTTTTACTAGTTGACACAAGCGCCAGCTATTCTGTCATGCAGAGTTGCGCGGCAAGAAATATATGAGAAAATATTTGGAATGTGGGCAGCGATTTTTTAACAACAATTGGAGTTTCCTTTCAATATGAATCCTTTCAAACGTTCAATTCCGCCAACGATATTAAAAATGAGTATTGAAACATAATATAAATAAATACAACGCGCATCGATGGTAAAAATAAATATCGAATAGTTGAAAGAATGCATCATGAAAAGATGTAGCGAGGCTCTCATGCATATTAAAGAAGACGTCACTTTCAAACCCTAGTTCGTAGAATATGGTGAATGCAACGTCAGAATTCCTTCACAATTGTGCACAATATATAAATTACAGCTTGGACATGAGCCGGCATTGCAGACCGACAGAGCGGCTGTCAAGCGTGGCGAGATTCGTTGACAGCGCATGCCAACCTTGTTACGCAGGCGTATTTTCAATACACGTGCATGTATGTAACTGGGTTACACGTTCATGCACGCGTATTTTCCATACACGTGCACGTGAGTAGCTGGTTACACGTTCATGCACGTGTATTTTTCGTACACGTGCCAGTGAGTAACAGGGTTACACATTCATGCACGTGTATTTTCCACACACGTGCATGTGAGTAACAGGGTTACAGGTTCTACACGTTCATATATACACGTGTTTTAGCGCATTTTCTCATTTATGGAATAAATGCACTATTGTGCTCGCCATGTCCGTCTGTCCGTCCGTCTGTCTGTCTGTCTGTCCGTCCGTCCGTGACTTCACGTTTTCGTCGACGAGAAAATGCTCTCTCGGTCACTCACTGCAGTGAGTACAGAGTTAAATTTGTTCAATACATGTGCATGAATTTCACGTGCTTTAGTCAAACATCGTCGTGTTTATCATCAAACATCAAACTTGTTAGCGACCAAAATCGCATTTATCTGACGGAATGATTGACATTTATGCTTATCCGTCTAAATTTGCTTCATATACGTAAGGAAATCTAACTTAATTCAGGAAAAGTGTGATATATGAAAAATACAACTATTCATAGGTAATAGTGAAATAGATAACAAGTCACATAGTAAATAACTAGTGATGACACTATATGAACCTCTAATGAACAAATTAGAACGGTTACATAAAGTTTCAGGAGTTTAATTTTTGCTGATTTGTAGCGAATGAAAGATTACGTTCACTATCAGGCTTACTTGCTTGAACAGAATTAACAATATTAAATTGCTTAGCGTTCTTTGCTCGAATTGCAACTCATTTTCGTAGTGATTTTCTTTTGTTTTCGTAGTGATTTTCTATTGTCTTCGCACCCAGTTTGTCATTTTAACAACATACGCATACCCTTTCAAAATTCATTGGACGAAATAACGTTTGATGAGCTTATGCCACCATGAAACTACGCAAAGAAAAATATTCTAAACAAACAGCGCATGCAACAATTATTTACTCAATTTAGATTCAATTTCAAAGAATAGCGTGAACAACAACTGCGAATGGACGAAGCTACGTATCTTGCTATGAATGGACGCAACAGCTAACCCTGGACGAGAGGCATGATAGAGCTTTACTAATAGAAATTAATTATATAAATGATGATAGCTTGCAATTAAAATCGATCAATCGATAATTAAATCGATGAAAAACGTGCACGCGTCTTAATCAATCTCAAATTTACTCTAACTTTTTACCCTTGCCGGAAATAGATTCAACTAGTTCCTCAATTAGTAGTGAATTCGCAGCTACTTGCGCTAGGTTCGGACGCGTCGGTCTAACATATGCTCGAGCGGGTGGCGTCTCATCGATCTAAGTTCTAAGAGAATAACAGGTGGTTGGGCTGGCGGGATAGGCACTCTAAGCAGTTTGCGCGGTACAACTCACTTTTTTTATTTCGGTAACAATTTTAACGTGAATGGCGTTTTTAATTTTTTATAATTATTGAAGTTAATGAGTCTCGAGCACTCCAGCTTGGTGGAATTCAGGAATGGTAATGCATGAACAAGTGCAATTATTATGTTGGATCTAAGAGACTGAATCTAATTTTTTCATATGTAGCTCATACTTTAGGAGTTAGAACTGATCAAGTTACCAGGTTAGATGGATCATGAATATGCGAAGCATTTTCAGTATTCCATTTTGCACTCCAGGCCATACCTATATAATCACATAGAGGCATCAATACTGTGCCAAATGCTAAGAGAAAATTAAAGTTAAATCTTTAATTTACAAACTTATAGGAGTCGTGCACTCGCGATGACGACATGGGAACTTCGAACTTCTTGAGAAGCGTACAAAGTTCGATAGAACCAGATGTTTTGACACGCTTGACACAGATGAGAGTTATCTTGTATATGCTCTAAATGATTTCATAGTTTACGATAGCTTTAGAATAAAATTTTAAAATATGCGCACTTGCAAATCATGCTGATCACTCACTCACACAGCCTCAATACAATTGTCACCGTTTGAACATTTCGCAAAATCCATGAAGAGGTTATGCGATTTTCGATTCATATGCAAGCTAAGCTTCACCAATCCACCAACTATCGCAAATCGACAATGAAATCAAATGGTTTATCAAAGGATACAAGCCCTCACCTGAACTAGGCGGCTGGTAACAGCGACCGAACACACTGAGGTAGCGGTACACCATGACTCCCGCCGGCAAGCTATCATACACCTTTAAACCTAACAAACCGATACGAACTCCAGCAAAAATTAGCTAAAAAATTTTATCTTAAGTTAAATGAAGCATTAATAATGCTAGACATAAAGTTTTCAGATAAGTCTCACATTTTTATGCAGCTATCCAAAGGGAGGGAAACAAAGCCAAGAGTGACCGCTGTCTAGCACAACCGTTTATTGCAGAGTGTTTCCAGCGACTGACACGGAAGTTGCTGTGAAGCCGCCGGCTTGAACTGAATCTAAGTAATTACGCGGATGTAATAGTTTAAAACCTTGAGGGTGCGTAGAGAAACGCAATATCTAATACAATAACAGCATTATGCTTTCAGAAGATGGTCACGTCATTGATGGTGATGGTATTGGTTGGCTGCTGCCGCGCAGCGTGGGAGCGCCGATTGGATGGCAGGTGTGATATATGTAGTTTCAGAGGCTGCCATCGTAGCACGGTCAACAATGCTGCAACTTGGCAACTTGGAGCACAAACAAAATTATATACGCAGTGGTTTTATTCGTGTTATGTTCGAGATTCGAACATAACAACTTAACAAGAATGTTATGTTCGAGATTCGCGAAAGTTATCTTTTAGGCTGATTCTCGATGACAACCGCCGACACCAAATATTGAAATAATTTAGTTCGGGAGATGTCTAAAGGTTCCAATAAGAAGATAATTATAACCAATAATCGAGCCAAGTCGCAGGTGAAGTCACTTAAGATTATTAAATTTTCGTTTCGACATCCGTAGGTTTTTGGCTATGCGCAGCAACGGAGTTTTTGGCTATGCGCAGCAACGGAGTTTTTGGCCATGGGCAGTGGGCACTTGCGCAGGTTACTGCCGCCGCAAAAAAATAAAGCGAAAAATAACTTTTTCTGATTTTAAAACGAGGGTCGAATGAAAGTTTTATGTTCCATGTAAAATGAGAGTTTGAAAGAATCTTGGTTTAATTACCATACACGAACATTTTTATTATAATTAACGGCATTAGGGACAATATATATTACGCGATAATGGGATACTAAAATACAGGGATAATGGAGCCCGCGCCACATCGGGCTAACCGCTAGTAATAATGAAATATTTCAATATATTTCAACGAAATTAATTTCGATCGAATCATCTTCCACATTCTGAGTAATTTATTCCTGGACGCCAAGCAGGGCAAGTTAGTGCTTACTAATTAATTAAGACTATATTTTTGCACGCCAATTCATAAATTTTACTAATTAAGATTCGTTAGAATGCGCCCTTTAACTAGTCTATTACAGACTATGATTTAAGTTATCCAGCGTTCAGATACAAGTGGCATTACTAACGCTGAATATGTCAGCAGACAAAGAACACTCAGGAAACAATACGTTCTTGTATACTACTAAGTCACAGAATTAATAGCGCTTCAATGACTTCATTCAACGGCTTTTTTTACTTAGCATAAAAGCGTGCGAGTAATGGTACGAGTTGATCTTCAAAGCAAATAAGTCAAAAATAATTCCTTTGCAGAGCAACGAATGTTGATATGCTTTCAACATATATTGCTTGCATTATAAAAATTCGATAAAAAAACGAAAACATCTTAACATGGAGAGTTAGATCTATGAGAATGACGTGAAAAATTCTCAATGACGCAACACGCTAATAATATTTATTCATAAGAATATGTCTTTTGTAAGCATGAACATCTTCTAACTTCTCTTGTATGACCATGAAAGAATTTTGCGAGCATCAATTGCGATTTTTTCAAGCTTTTCAATGCCCACTTTAGTCTCCCTATTTGAAAGACCCACTATCAGACCCTGTTCAGAGGGTCTCTATTGGAGTCAAATCGGCAAGCTCGCCAGGCCACTCGACGGCATTAACATGAACTATGCTTGTTAAACCACTTGGTTGCTGGCCTTGACGTGCTTGGGATCGTTGGACTCCTCTTTACACTCAACGAACTTTTCATGCCCCGACACGTGGCGGACGAGCAGGGAGGATTTTCTTGACTTTTCATGACTTTATAGTTTACAATTGCTAAAGAGATAATATATTCAATATTCATAGCTATCTTCAAGCTCCCTCTATGGTGACTCTAGGTGATGGCAAGATGAGTGCAGTTGCGTTTTCTAGGTATTGTAGCTAGAGCCAAAGTTGTTTATTTTTGCTTCATCTTATACCCTAATTGTCTCAATGCTTATTAATGCAATTTAAAAATTCTTGAAAAATAAACACTTGCGAGCGTCAATAAGTTCTTTTCTCCTCGCTACTTGACGAGTTTAGAGGCAGATTTCAGTAAATGATGCCCATAAGCCATAAGAAAGACGGTTCTTCGATACATTATTTTCCGGTAGTTCTGAATTCTGTTAATATTATTAGAATCTTTCACGCAAGGTGCAAAAGCGATCACAAATCATATTATTGAGGCTCAACAATGCAACGGAATTTGTAGTGATAAAATATGGCAACACGAACGGTCATGAGACTATGGGAAGACGCGTGGGGTATGGGAAATGAAGGAGCGAAGCAGGCCAATGATCCCTAGCAGCGTCAAGGCTAAAAAGCGAGCATTAAAAAAATGAATAGGTCACATTGTCCATATTATTACACGCTTCTTGCCCGTAGCAATGATTTAAAATTTTGCTGTGCCAAACTGGATCAAGATAACCCGCACATGGGCGGAAAGTGCCTCGTTATCTTGACAAAGTCCCACTATTTTCTCTGAGTGAGTGGTTCTGAAGGCATCGGAGCACAGCTACGAGAGGTTTAACCGGTCTCATGGAAGGAGTCCAACAGTAAATCTTCGGTGAAAGTTGATGCGAATGTTACCCTTTAAAACGGGCTATTTAAAGTGGGCGAACTGACATCCGTTCATTGTGTTTTACAGTAAGTAAAAAAGGATTAAATATTAATGGAAGGAGTAATATTGCAACTAATGCTAGCAAGAATTTTGAATGATTTTTCGTGATAGGTTCAGGAGCAGTTCTGGTCGAAATGGGCATGACGCCGAACGTATACAAAATTTTTTTGCGTAATCCATACTATTTTTATCGCAAAAACGTCGTCGACGCATCATGTAAGTTTTAGGTTTCCTTTAAAAATTGTTAAACCCTTTCATATTTATCCCCCCCCCGTTGACGGTATTAATCTTTCAATGAACAAACAGGCGTAGTCTGCATTACATATTACTGAGTCAGTGGGTTCGTTTATAAGCCTGATGTCAGGGATTCCAACGTATTTGTTTCTCTGTGAAACAAATTTGATACGTACGTCGTACTTTATGCCGAAGTTCAGTGTTATAAAAGTATCTTGGGTTAAGTACTTCAGAACTCAGCGTAGTACTCAGGGTTAAGTACCTCAGAAATCTCTTCTTTTAACAATTTATTTTACAGGCCAAACTCGAAATGAGGCGTTGCCCATAAACGGTCACAGTGGCGCCGGGCAGAGACTAGAGAAGCGAGGCGGTTTTGCCGATTTAATATGCAACGCAGGGCTGCCCTGCTGCGAGTACATGTCGGAATAACATACTTCTACTAGATAACCGTGCCGGCAAAGTGGTGTTAACCTGCTGGTCCATATTTCGTTGAGAACGTACTACACCAGAAAAGACTACTAAGACGAGTTATCTAAACTGCTAAGATGCGTTATACTGTTTCGCAGTCGAACCTGCAATGGGGGGCTATCCTGCGTGTTCGGGTACTGGCTGCACAAGTTTAACCTAACAAGGCAAATTGACATGAAACGTCCCGTTAAAATGCTCCATCGACTTAACTTGATACGAATAGTATACCCTTCCTGGTTAAGCTACTACTTGTCAATCATAATTTCTCCATAAATGCCGGTCGGTCTGATATAAATTAAACTAGAGTGTTTGAATGCTTCGCTGCATTTTGTTAGGCCAAACTGTTACAAGTTTTATTGCATATTTTTCTTCATGAACGTTACGAAATCAGATTTAATCAATGATCAACGAATGGAATCTTTCAAAAGTCAATGTGCAGGTAATCAGCCTATACAAACTATAACCATAGCAACTAACTGCCTGGTCAGATCTACATTTGCGATGTCGCACGCTTGCACAATGCACAGTTGACAGAAACACGGCAGTTATGCGCAACAGCTCTACCGTCAGTGATGCACGAGTCGCCGCAGACACTGCGCTTAACTTGAAGCTAACCTTTAAAAACCGTATAAGGTAATAAAGGTCAGAACTATGATATGATTTGTAGGGTTCGATTACTACATTTAGGGTGGAATTGACAGCTCGTTGACCTGCGTTCAGAGCAGTAGGCCGGTCATCCACGCAACAAAATAAAATCTTTCCGTAGGGATATATTACCTTCAAAAAGAAAATATTGACAGGCATTTCGAAGAATAGAAGCAAAGGTATACACATTTCATTTGGCTAGATCAATTTGGTCTTCCATCTTCCCCTGCCCCTGTTCACTATATCTCCATGACCCAACTCTGACATCATTATCCATTTCCCTTAGTCTCCACACACTACAAATATTTCTTTACGCTCTTAATAACAGATACAGTTGCTCCCTCAGACAAACCCGCTATCATTGCAAACCACTCCTCATTTGTTCTCTCAAACGAAATACAAAGCTGTTTTCATCTCTCCAGAAACTCGTGGTAGAGTTTTGGTTATAAAATACTTCGTTTGGATTGAAGGTCAACGACATTAGTGTTGTGACAAGTCACTGACAGCTAAAGTAGCATTGACGTTACCTAGGATCTGGGTCACAATGAACCTAATCGTGAACTCTATGACGAACTATGTACTTCCCAGAACAGAGAACTGAAACGTTTTACCAGTCATAACAGCAGCACTTAGCAGATATCCATCCCTTGGCGCGCGGTGCCGGCAAAACGCATGACACGACGCCTAAGCAGCAAGCAGCCAACTATGGCTGCCCTCGTTTTTATTCGCTATCTCAATTCCTCAACCTGTATTCTCATCGAAAATCCATTAAAATAAAAGCCTAAAATATGTCGAGTAATACAAATTTTCCGATGGCGCTTGCATGAGATCCTGGTAAATTGGTACTAGTATTGGCATAATATTTAGAATATTCATATTAGTATTAATAATATAAAAATAATGTTCTGTTTAGTTTGGTAGCATAATCAGTGCAAAGTGTTTTCCTCTGCTTTGGTGGCATCGTTCTAAAAACTCTTAAATTTACCTTACATTATCCATCAAACATAATAGATAGAGACATGCAAATTCTGACTAGGTAGCTATACAAATACGATTAACTACCTACATTATTCAGAGGATTAAAAATTACACATACACTTGTTCTGTTAAGACTTACACACCTTTGCACTTCTTAGATTCGGATTCCATTTAGGCTTGCACGAGATTCAGGTTGTAGAGAATTTTCATAATACAGTCCGTCGATTATATTGAATAAGCGAGACCGGCATAGGATTCACCAGCTACTGTATGCGCCACACCACCCCTCACGGCAGACTGAACCTCACTGCCTGACGCGCAGCAACTCACGAGGCAGAATGGACATCGAGTAGCAAGGCTGTGCAGGTCAAAACAAAGTCTTCAATCTACAAGACCATACGACGGCAAACTTATTGAAAGCTCGTTAGTAAAAAATCTACTGCAAAGCCTCATACATTTTTTTAATCGATAAGGCGTAACATTGTACAAGAAGCGCGTATCAGAAAAATAAAACGTGCCGAAAACCGATTGAAAAATGAAACGGGCAACTGGATTTGTCAGTAACTGGCGATCTTGAGGGAGGGCGTTTGAAGGTGACCTCGTGACGTTTGCGAGTGCCCGACGTTCGTGAAAATGGTTCATGTTACTGCCTTGTTATCTCTTATCTAAAATCCCAACTAACCTTTTTCTGTTACTTGGGCATTCGGTATAACTTCCACGACAGAATAAGCGTAACGCTCGAGCGCCCTTTTTGTGTGTTCTTTGAATTGAATGAGACGCATATGAAAAAAAATCTTAGATTGATAAATAAAAGGTTAAGCGTAGGCCTATATCTGGTTTAAGCAATTCAATTTGGTGTATCGTAAGGCAGTGAGATACACAAATCATGTCAAACTTCAAGACAGGTCTTCTCATGATAAAATATTAAACAAATGGTACAAGTTTTAATTGCAAGCTAAAATATAGAACAGTGAGAGAAAGAAGTGAGAACAAGCATAGGTTACATAAAATTTTCAAGACAACCTCGTTAGAGTGATGCATATGAATTACTTACCTGTGTAACTAAAACGAGTAACCGCCGTTGCACAAATCGTAGCGTCCTTCTCGACATTTCTCCACCGGCCAACACAGGAGATCGATGCTAGGCGAAAATATGAAATTTATGAACCGGTATTCTCAGGAGTACCGTCGTCAAGGATATAAATGGCTAAATTATGACACTTATGATATTTTCTGCTACCGTTAGCCCTGAAAATGTTCCAGTTATTCTTCAATCCTTTATAATAAAATACATGGAACCTGACGCGAGAACTGCACCACACAAGAAAAAATATTGTGTATATGCAGGATTGCACGATGAAAACCCGGAGTGAGTTTTTTTCATAGAGGAACTTACAGATCCTCTGGTTATATTGTGAATCCCATAAAAGAACAGATTGTCATTGCACAACTCGAAAACGTTATTCAGTTTATTGTATTATTCCTAATAATATGGCTCAGCTTTCTAAATATTCAATGCATCCAGTTTACGTCTAATGAAATCGTCTAACGTTATTTGCAGTCAATTGGGTAGAGGAAAAAAATTCCCTCGAATTGTTGGCACATTTTACTTCAAAAAAATCATCACACTAAGAATTACTTACTAAATAAAAAAATTCTTTAACTATAAAATTCAAGTTCAATTCGGAATAGTCTGACCTTGATTTAAAAGAATAACAAAATAGCATAAACCAGGCTGCATGGCTGGCTTTGGTTGAAGCATCAATTTTTAATTGCATCACCATGACGTCTTTACTCAATAGAAATGAGAAGGCTATACGACAAAATAAAAAACCTGATTTCTTTAGGCGTGTAGACTTATTTTTTTATAGAGCTGCGTGTCGCGGCGACCGCGAGCGTATACTGTCGCTCGACAAAAAATAAATTGTATCGTCTAACATAAAACCTACAATTATCCTATGGCATGCGTGCAAATTCTCCCATTGCCATTTTTATTCTATTTTTCCATTTAACCATTTTTATATGCAGTTTTAAAAATAATTTAGCTTGATCATATAGATATTTCCACCACACAGAATACGCTCTCATTACTTTCGGCCATAAAGCGTTTATGATCGACATTTCATTCATCATTAAAATTATGTCATTTGTGTATAAATCGGCTAATAATTGTAAATACGTTGAGGTAGTTGTCAGTTTATTACTCCTAAATTAATTCGACGAAAACTGGAAAGGGTATAAAAAGCAGATATGCCACAATTCAAAAGGGCGAGTTCAGATCGGACTAATTTTTACGGTACGGTGCGAAGAAATCGCACAAATTCATTCAAAAAAGGATAACATTATTGCTTTAAATTCAATATTCGTTGCATTCATTACTCATTCGCAACACAAGGAAGCACTGCAGGTGTGAAAGATAATAAATGATTCCTCATAGTCAAGGATCAAGTGAATAAATAAATGAATATTGAAATTCAAGACATTGTTATTAGTAAAGAAAAGCACGTAATCATGTAAGAAGTACTGTAGGTATTAAACTACAAAAGAGGGTAAAATGTAATGTTAATGCGTACATGTATGTATGATGAACCACTAGATACAAAAGTAAAATATGGTATGCCCTCGGAAACACTTCAAATTGAATATTTTTTAATCCATTTCATGTAGAATTAGTGAAGAAACAGGCAACATATCAAGACAGAATTTCTTTTCCTCTAAAAAATAATGGTGGGATGGTCAGGTTTCCAGCTTAGAAGGCTCTTCTTGCATAATGAAAAAGATGATGCGCAGAGTTGTAGCTAANGCAGGTATAATTAATCTACGTATATAATGTCAAATTCTATAGCGGCCGAGTGTTGGTTTGGTGGGCGCCACTGTAGCGCAGAGGTAACGGCACCGAAATGAGAGAAGCCAGCGATTGTTAGCCGTCCAAAGTGGTTCTTGCAGCATGGCCTTAGTTTGGTGCTCCTAAACGGACTATACAGATACTTGTTACGTGGGGACCTTAGGGCCTCCAGGTGTGTGGGGACTGATTGTTTCTGCTGACGTTGGCTCCTAAAACCGCTTGATACCAAAATCTTTTTGCCCTCTAACAATAATTACTTACTCGTCACTCAAACGTACGAGCCGAGATCGTAAGGAGAAAGACTGAGAATACAAGAAATTATCAGCATAAGGACGTCTGAAATGAAAAAAAATTTCAAGAAAGGTAACCATTTAATATTATGACTATAAAAGAGTAGACAAAATTACGATTTGAGTAAATTCAATTACAAAATTTAGTTTATCTGAGAATATTCTAATAAGTATACTTAGTACCATATTTAAAATCTGAGTACTTTCAAATACAAAATTCAACAAAAGCTCATACGGCGATATGCGTAACGTTCCCACACATGATGTATCCAGCTAAGCTACGCACAGCAAGTTCAGGACGACTCAGCGAAAATAATTTCATGGCACTATTTAATATTTCATATTACTATGCACATTCATAGAACTAACCTCACGACACGGACCGAGAACTCCGTGGTCATAAGAAATGAAACTATTTTAGATTTTCCGCTCAACTTTGAACAGTATATTAATTTTACTACAAGAAATGGCACACTGCGCTGATACATTGGTACAAGCGGTACAAAATAAGTAAGCGTTCAGCATCGGGAACAGCTACATAGTACAGCCTCTTACGTAGTAAACAACATGACTGAAATTGCATGCAATTTTTCATGCTATTAGAATTGAATGCAATTCCGGTACTGAGGAAGCACATTGACAAGCTTATGTTTATTATAGATACATGGGAAATTGTAGTAATTTTTGTGGCGCGCTATTCACTTTCAATAAAGAGAGAAAGTAAGGATGAAATTGCTTGCAATTCGTGATACGGAGGAAGCATAAGAATAATATTATGACTTCAATAGTTGCTTGGAAAAGTCAAACATTTTACAATATTGGTGACATCTTTTTCTTAATAACTTTCAAGCGAGTGAAATTTGATTTGATTGTTTAATCATTGAGAAGGGTAAGCAAACATTTTCCTGAGTACTTGCTAATTGATCTAAGGTTGAAAATTCTATTATTAAACGGTTTAACTTACATAAATCATATCAAACAATCATCTTCAAATCCGTTATTTTATCACACGTCTATAAATTATGAAACAAGCACATAAAAAAACGTCACTTGACAAGCTAGAATGCAAGAAATTATTATTAGTAAGCAGCAACAAATGGAAGAGAGTAAAGGCATTAAAGTCGTCACAGCAGCGTCACTCAGTCTGAAGGCACTAGGGGCCGTCATTCTAGTATGAAGGCAAGGTGGTCTCATTGAAAGTCTTCTCATTGAAGGTCTGGTGGGGAATTAGTTGCCGCCGAAGTACTTCAAGAATCCGTTTCCTCGTCAACTTCAGCTTCCAAGAGGTCACTCAAGGCGTGTTGAATCGAGAGAGGCAGCACACTGCGAGCAACGAAAGAAAAATGTTGAGTGCTGCATGATGTTTACAATTGACAACACATGTAGAATAAACAGAATATTCGAACACGTAATAAAATTGAGGTGAAGAGATCCACATTTTTGCACACCAAAAAATGCTTTGAGATCACTGTAAAATGAGAGCTCATGTTACATAATAGATAGCAAAGTAACTCCATATCGTCACATAAAACGAGCGATTGATATCATCTGAGCATCTCTTCAGTCTTGCTTGTTGATCTACTTGTGTTCCTGTACAACTACCTCTTCAACTAGGTCCCGTTATCATGAGTTATCTTTGAATACGGCTTTAAATAAAAAAGATTGTTAAAAATTTCAATCAACAAATATTTAAAACTTTACATTTGTAGCTATTGGTGAAAAGCTGTGCTTTCAAGAAGCACCACCCACTAACTGGAATACATTTTACGTAAGTGAAAAGGTTGAGACGATAAACTTCTACGACAGACATAGCTGCAAGGAATACAGCGACAGAAAACAAGAGAAGCTGAACTGGAATAACTCTAGAGGACAGCAAAATTATAATTATCATTTCGACACTACACGTGAGAAAGAGAGGAAGTGAAGATGAGGTTGGAAACAAATGAATTATTTACGATCGAATGATAGGGCATTTTTGAGCAAGTAAAATGGTGTCATGAAGACGTGCTGACGGGTGTGATCTCTTCATGGGGTTACCTGAAGAGCTTGAGGAAGTAGAAGTCTTTCTTAGGGATGCTGACGACGTAATGCTCCCGTTGGATGCCATCAATGATGATGCTCGCCGCGTCCGCTGGGGTAGTCACGGGGTTGAACAACGGGAACCTGCATAAACTTCAACTCTTCACCAAAAATTTCAAAGCCACAAAATTGACATGAAGATGCCAAAAATATTTACTGCAAAACTTATAACATTTAGCTTGAGTATACCTCTACATTAGTCTACAACATTCGCTAGAGTATGGCAATCGCGACAAAACTAGTAGGGTTAATCGGTATTGCATCTCCTGCGCAGAAACAATGGAGGACCTGATTTTTTAGCAGAAAGAATAAAAATTCATAGTAAATTCACCAAAGAAGAGCAATGGAAAGTTAGATCTCTCCTATGTTACAACGACTAATTAAATATCAGACCACAAAGGCAGATTATCTACGAAAAAAAATCTTACCGATAGCTTCAGGTAATGAAGCTTCTTTTGGACAACTCGATTTATTCAACTGAAAAAACTTTAGAGATATTAAAATTTTTGTGCACTGGCAAATAGCAGTGCAGAGCACCAATGTTTCCGATAGCAACAACACAACAGTTTAAAAGAAATAATTTTCTTGCTCTGTTGCCATTGACAACTTTCCCTTGCCAGAATGAAGACACGCAATTGTCGCATTTCATTCACAAATCTTTTATTTATTCGTCACCGCAGCAACAGAAACGATACCTAAGAATATTTAGACGACAAGTGTCATGAGACCGGCTGCAAGATGCAGCATTAACATTTCCGTGATAAGAAGAAATTAGAAACAGAAACAAGGACACTCATGCAATGCAAGAGTTTGCGGTGCATCAGTCCCGCCTAGACATCAACCTAAACCTAACATCAGAACTGAGACCTACTTCGTTAGTTTGCTTTAAGAGAAAGTTCGTCAAGAATTTAAAAGCAAAGATAAGTACAAGTAAAGTTATCAATGTTTACAATGACGATATGATGCATTTACTTGGTGTTGTTTTTTGATTTTAAAGTTCTAAATTAACCAAGCCCTTTAGTCGGATACCGAGAGCAGGAGCGAGTGTAAAGAAAATAAAGAGTGTCAAAAAGTAAGTAAAGCGGGCGCTCAAAATTGGAGTGACAACACGCCTTAAGTGACCTCTTTTCCAGGGGGAATAACCTGTGAGCTAAACAGTGTTCAAGATTTAAAAAGGATATGTTTGACCGCGAAAAAAAGAACTTAACAGCACCATGTTTTCCTACTGAATGGGGAAAGAACGAGACTTATCGTGTGTGTCTCACAATTATTTCATGGAGAGAAAATGTGAAAAACTGAACAAGGTAGATGAGGAGAATTGTGAGCTATTCATTGTACTAATTATTTCCAGCAGACTCATATTAAACTCACTATTCTATTTTAAAAGCTCAGCCAAAGGAGAGTAGGAACAAATTAGCGTTATAAAAGCTCCTGATGCAGAGATCACAGTGCGCACTCGAATGCCAGTTTCATCATGTCCGTGGCATGTGCTTGAGAAAATCAATTGAATGTGAATTGAAAACAGAATTCAAACATATATGGCGTTTAAATTACTCAATTTAAGTAACATCAAAGCTTCAGTGATACAAAAACTTCTTACAGAAACAAGCAGTTTCTGATTTCCCACAGTTTATAACGTAATAAAAGATGGGCATGAACATCCATCCTATCGTTTAAAAAAATTAAGACATTTAGCGCAATTGATGAAATGGCATCAGATGGCTAATTGCAGTCGCACCTGATCCTATAACTTTTTGCCAGGCCAGTCTCAACAACAAACGGATGCACAGTCGTCAACTTGATGCCAGGATATCGGTTATCAAAGCGAAGTTCTTCTTTCAGACCCTCCATCAGACCTGTCATGAAATCAGAATGATGAATCGCCCGACAAAATCAATCATGACAATAATAAAATATTAGTACTAAATGTAAAGCAGATAACACAATAACTAGTCAAGACTCGAGACAAACTCCCATTGTTGAGCAATATGAAATATTTTGGATATCCTGATGGGCTTCACGTGCGCAAGGCAAAGCACGTCGATCATAATTTTTTTACCGTCCAATATCTCATTGGTTAGATGGTGTGTTACAAGAACTTTCATAATTGGGAAACAATCGGTGAAAAAAAAATTGGAAATTGAATAGATTTGAAAAATATGGATTAGAAAAAGTTCAAACAGTTTTCCAACTGATATTTACAGCTTGAGGCTCACATGTCTCCGCAAGTTTTAGCTGCCACATTTAGTTTAAAAAATGATATATGAAGTACACTATGTAAAGAAAGACAGGATTCAGAGAATGAATGGTAAATAGCAGAGAAATACAGTGTTAAACTGAGAGCGAGGACATTGTATGGCATATTTGGCGGCGCATTACAATAACCAACACAAGGTTGTTCGTATACACTATGTAAATAAATACAGGATTCAGTGAAACAATGATACAGCACAGAATAAAGACAAAATAGAGAACAGGAACCTCGTATGGCGTGCTTGGTGGCGCAGTATGGCACGAGGTTGCTGGTGCCCATGAGGCCTGCGATGGAGGACAGCGCCACGATGTGACCGTCACCGCGGGACATGAATACCGGCAGCCACTCACGCAGCGTCTGCTCAATTGAAACCTATCATTAAAAATTCCATTTACAACATATATCCTGTTAATAATTTGTGAATTTAAGAGATATGACATTTTCAGGAGATGCTAATCAAAAATTTAATTACAGCATACAGATGGATTTTGATTTTTGCATTGAAAATACAGGTTTAGGAGAGGGCTTTTCGGTACATTTATCCACAGTTGGAACAAAGTATAGAATGCAGGTATCTAGTAAATAATTCTTTTAGATTGAACATATTCTATTCAAGGCAGGTTAATTGTTCCTCAACAAATCTCGAACATTGAAATAACTTGATAGAAGTAGGTCACTCTTCAACAGAATATACGGTAGTGTTGATGAAACTACAGGTCGTCTTGTTTGTTGTGATTGAAACTGGCAATGAGATTTTACTCACAGGCATTCCTACTGAAGATAAAAAAGAATTATCAGTAAGAAATATATTTCATTACACATGAAAACGTTACAACACAACTGTGTCTGATCATTAATTTTACATAAATCAAATGCATTATCTTAAATTATAATACAACCATAAATTATTTCTTCTATTAAACAGTCTGTTTTTGTGACCAGAGAAGGAGGGTGAGTACAGGATTTCAGGTACTTTTTTCCTCCAATAACTTATTCACAAAATGAAAATAAGGCAATTGTTAATATGAATGAAAAAAAAACACTGCTCAGGAAATGAACTTTTAACATAGACGATGTTTGTAATCAATGTGCCTAAATGTTAAACTGACATGAAAATGTGACATAACATTGATGGCAAAAAGCTTCTCGACGTCCTGAGCTGAGTGCTGGAGGAAGGATTTGCACGGCATGATCCCTGCATTGTTGATCAGGATGTCGATATCCCCAACTTCTTTGCGGATCTGAAACAATAGAAAACAAAGGTTTACACATGCCCTGACTTTGAACTGAATATTGACATTTTTTACATCCACATTCTATATTTGATTGTTTAAATTATTTAAACTGTGTGCTTAGCAAATCTTAAAAATTACCTAATAAAATATTTTATCTTTGATTACATTATCTATAATTTGCACTTTGTACATTAAGGCAATTTATGCTCTATATCCTTATTTTTTCTACTCGCAATTATTCAGACATTTTCTCTCATGTTTTTCCAGAATTTTTAGTCACTGAAGCTCACTAGCTTTCACACAAATGATTTTATGCAAACACTTGACTAACAATGTTGAATTCAACATCAACACATATTGTGATGTTGACCAGAACCCATGCTCACCATGCTTGACACATCACAGATGCATGAGGTGCTACAAATGATTATGTGGAGATACTTGGCTAACAAAGTTGAAGTCAACATCAACACATATGATGTTGACTTGTACTTTAACCTGTGCTCACCATGCTTGACACATCATGGACGCAGGAAGCACTGCTGACATCACATTTGTAACCCCAGGCCACACCAGCCTCAGCTTTGATGGCTTCAACAGTATTTTGATTCCATGCCTGAAAAGCACTTAGCATTTCACAAGCTATTCCATCACATCATAAATAAAACTCATATTTAGCCTGCAATGCAAGTATGGCATCTGGTGATTTTTTTCTTGGGTAAAGGAAATGCAGGAACAATGTACAACAATCATATCCAAAGTTGAATTATTTGTTCATAGTATAGCAATTCAATTTGTTAGCACACATTTCTAAAAACTAGAGTTGAAGCCTTCATGCCTTTGCATAATACAGAAATACCATTTTGCTACCTATAATATTAATCCAATGTTTAATATTGTCTGCAAGGAATGAGTGATATGCCAATAGACACTAAAAGGTTGCCTTGTTTTTTGTTTTCTTATGCATAAAGCTGCTATGGAAAGATGCAAATAATTTCTGCAAGAATTGATGCACTTGGGCGAAAATTAATTCAAGAAATGTGGTGTAAAATTTGCTTACACAACTCAGGTTATGATAAAACAGACATAAAAAATATACAAACTTTAATCATATGCAAATATAGAACCTTTTCAACAAGGGTTCTATTCATGATTTAGCAAGAAGTAAAATGCATTAAATTCATATGAAGAAGTCTCAACAGATAGGTAATTAATAGCGAAATATTTTTTAAAAGTTAAAGTTACAGCATTGAAGGAAAAGCATAAACCTGTCTTTATGCCATATACAACTTTGCTTTCAGAGTTCAAACATTCAATTCCGTGTTTTAACTTCACTTCCAAATCACGATTGAAGGTATTTGAGAGGAAGACTATAACATTATTGTGGAATTGAAAGGAAACATCATTAGGATCTTACTTCATTGATGTCACAGCACACAACTTTAACCCCAAGCCTGGACAGTTGCAGTGCTAGTTCTTTGCCGATGCCATGGCCTGCTCCTGTGACCTGGTGAAACAGTGCAATGGGAATCTCAAATTAGTCAGAACAGAATACATTTATTCCAAAAATAACAATGCTTAAATCCCATACAAACAATGCATGAATAGGCACTTTTGTTGAGATATTTGAGACAAAATATTTGTTGAGACAATCAGCTTGATCAAGTGGTTCATATTGCTGCTGCAGTTATTTCAATACAATGCTAATGGAGAATGTCATTCTACTACATATCAAGATAACATTGTAGCAGATGCCTGGTATTTCTGGGCCTCTATTCTTAGAAGTTGGAGAAAATGTACAGCTTCTGTTGAACAAAGCACATACTCCAGCAAACAATAGAATATAATAAGTGCATATAAAACACAAAAAGTACATTTCTATTATGCACCACTAGTCTTATACAATGGTTTGAAATTGCTTCAACATTTGAAAAGAAAAATTTTCAGCCAGAAAAATACCAATTGGTAAACTTGAAAGAAAATATATCTTGGGTTATTGTTGCTTATTGATCCACAGTAGAGGCTTGACTTCAAACAGCCCAAACATCATTTGAATGAACAAAATTTTCAGTAGACAAGGATTGAATGAAATTGCACTGCTTAGCTACTTGTACGTTAAATAGTAAAGGAGGTTTTAACATATGAATAAATTTCAGTCTTGCTTATAAATATAGCTCAAGCTTGCATTTGATAAGAAACGTTTCACATTTGAAACCAATAACATGATTTTTAATCAAGATTCTAGAACAAACATGTTTGAAATGATCATTGAAAGAAAATGAAAATGATCATGATCATTGATAGAAACAAAATGGACAATGAACACAAATGAAAAAATTTTCTTAGGATTCAAGCAGTAGCAACTGATAAATCTAAAATATAAAAATCTTACCATGGCCACTTGTCCAGAGAGAGACTTCTTCTGATTTGGAACAAAGAGTCGGAAAATGGCAACAAGGTAAAGCCAGCCCACAAGAAACACAAAATGGACCAAGTCAAAGATGGTTAGCGCCCATTGGTAAATTATCATAAGCAAGGCTATCATGGCTGTATTTTATAAACACTAGATGTAAAAATGAATAACTTGGGTGCTGCAAGTAGAAGATAACCATGTTAGATTTAGGCCATGTTAAATGGAAAGAAACATTAATTTATAGCACCTAGGACATAAAACATCAACTATAGTAGATATTGGTATCATAAATCACATGAATATTTGTCAAAGTGTTTGCAGGTTAGTGGTTTGGGTAGGTATTTATTAGAAGCCTGTCACCATAAATTCAATTAGTTGTAAACATAGATTCAAGTTAAAGAGGTATTTTTTAGAAACTAGTTTATTTCTACTTTCCTGATCTGGCTTATCAGGCAATTCTACTTCAAGTTATTATTGTACATCTTATTATCTGTGTTTATGCATTATGTTGGTACTGGTATCCATGATAATTATTGGTCTATTTATAACACTCACTAAATCTAAGGATATCAAATATCTTGATATTTGAGAGAATTTTAAGGGGAGCATCTACCCAAAAATTATGGATTTTCGCTTTTGTGGTTTTTAGTCTCATCTTAAAGCTGACATTCTGACCTATCCAATGGTACCAAAACCTTCTCTGTACATTGATTTATGCGTTCATGACAAATCATGAAAGGGAGGGGGGTGGGGGAGTTCTTTAACAAATAGAATAGGAGGAAATTTGCTGTGAGCACTTTAAATAGAGTGTCTGCTTCAGCTGAAGCTGAGTTACACGCCTGGCGTTGTATGAGGAGGTGTGCATGCAGTCATTCCCACCATCCTTGCCAGGAATCAAGCTGCAGTAACGTTTAGTTTTGTGTCCTTGCTACATTGAGTGCCTACTGCGAGGCGTGGGGGACTTTGTCACACTCTCCTGAACATTCACACTTATTGTCACAGCAAACCATTTCCTTTCATTTCTTTGAAAAATTTACATGAACAAAAAGGTCTTTGATTTCTGTTTTACATATGTGTACCAAGTTTCAAAACGATCCGTTCATAAATGAAAAAGTTTCCAAAAGAGGGAGACAGTCTTCTTAATATGGGCACAAAGAAATTTACCATAAAATAAACTTGCGAGTCAGTAATCTAATTTAGCTTTAGTAAAATTTAAATTTCATTCAAACAAAACACCTTCCTGATATGGCAATGTATTGTCTTCTCCATCCACACTTCTAACTATGGCCTGTTCTTATAATAAAGACGATGTGCCTTAAATAGTTCAATTGAAGCTAAATGATAATCGATAATGAACTAATAATTGATTAAACTGATTTATTTTAATAAATCTTAAATTATTAGTGATTTATTTAAATAAATCACTGGTGCAACAATTTTAATTGATTAAATTGATAAATGGATTGAAAAAGTCATAGTTTTACTGGCAATAGAAAAGCTTCCTATGTTCTATGAGTCTATGACTATAATTGATTAATTTCTTTGATTTATATTCCATACAGGTTACACCAGTGACTTGTTGACGTGGCTCTGACGTCATCCATCATCAGCACTTCGTTGAACAAATTTGGTGGGATTTGCACGTTTACCCTTTCATCTCAAGACACAAATGAACAGAAGCAAAACATGGCTGAACAATGAACATCATTGAAAAAACTTATTTATTTTGTCTTTAATTTTCTATGTCCCACCACAAGTTTTTAGTTAAAGAAAGGTCTACAACAAAAGTCTCTTATTTGCAACTCTGACTGCATACACATTCCACAATATATACACCTATCATGTTAGGATAACTCCTGGAGGCTGGAGCTGCTAACTTTTATATATAGTCCTATTGAAAGAATCACAAGGCAGTGCAAAACTGGTATGAAATGGTTGCAAAGGAATGAAATAGTGATCTGATATAAACTAGCTTGGTGTCCATTTTTTCTGAAGTATACCTGATTTGGAATATTGGGCAGAATTTTCTTATGTTTACAGGTAAAAATGATCATTTCACAGGTGAATTTAAAACATCCCAAGTGGAAATCCCAATATGGATTACCAGGTCCTGGTAATCCATATTCCATCTGGCAGAAATAAGAAATGTTGCAGTTTCATAAAGGGCAGGAAAGTTCTAGTGGCACTGGCTGACTGGCAGGCTGGCACTTGGCAGCTTGAAAGGTAAGGTTTTTCACACTAGTGACTACTGAGTACTGACAACTTGACAAGGCACTAGGGCTAGGTGTAGCCGTGTAGGTCCCATGGTCACAATGGATTATTGGATAGTGGATACCATTAGTCCATTACCAACATATAAAAAAATAAGACATTGGATGAATTTCCATGAAATCCTAAACCTAAACTGCAACTGCATAGTGGCAAAGCAGAATTTTTTAAGCTCTATTTCAAGTTCAATTTTAGGCTATGTCCTTTACAGTCCTTATTGTCCTATAGTATAAGTATACCTACCGGCTACCAGACTACCAGCAATTGCAGCAAAGTATCATTGATACCAGCATACCACACCAGTGACCAGTCACCAGCATCATCATACATAAGATAATGGTTTTAATCTTAAGTAGATGAAAAATTAAAAATGAACTGGTTCTAGAAAATTTACTGGTTTGCCAAGTGCCAATTGGCATTGCCACTAATTCATAGTGGCAAAGCAGAGAGTTTTTTAGACTCTTCCTAAAGTTCATTTTTGAGTCCTAAAGTAGACCAGTAAAGTATCTTGGATACCTGAATTATCATACATAAGAAATCTGTTGAAATCTTGAGTAAATGAGGAAATTAAAAATGAACTGATTCTAAAAAATCTCTGGTTTGTCACTATGACCTGAGTCCATAGTGGCAAAGCAGAGAGTTTTTTAGACTCTTCCTAAAGTTCATTTTTGAGTCCTATAAGTAGACCAGTAAAGTATCTTGGATACCAGAATTATCATACATAAGAAATCTGTTAAAATCTTGAGTAAATGATGTAGGCTATCTCAAGTAAAACAGGAAATTAGATTATTAGAAATTTACTGACTCGCTAAACAAATCTCTCATTTGTCACTTAGCAATATCAATATGAATGTATATTGTATAATCATCATTGATGATTGATCACTGTCACACACGACATGATGACAGGTCTGAGGTTACCTACCTTCTCACTGTGACTGGTCACTGGTCAGACAGGAAATTATCAGGATTCGGCCACTTGACCCACCGACCAGAATGGACTCTACCGAGCCAGTGAGCGCTCAACAATCAACTCACTGATACAGTGATACTGTACTAGACTACCTACTAGGTAGCTTAAACTTGACTACTAGCCGGTTGCAGTTAGTTAATAAAACCGTATCATACTAGAGAGAAATGCAATTCGTGATGTTTGGTTACTTAATTCAGCAACTAGGATTTTATTTTATAGAATCGAAGTCTAGTATATTCTATTTACTAGTAGTTCATTAGAAGAATAGAAGTACCGTAGAACCTACAGCTCCAAGCTCTGGGTGTCAACAACTGCAGACCCACGGCCACGAGTGACTGTGTGACACCATAGTTCAGAAATTCGAACTTCAGAAGAATTTGTCGAGAAGTAACCAAAAGTACTATCTAGGTAGATATACTTTAGAGCACAATCCGCGAACTTCGGAAGATTTCAAGAATTTTATGTGCAATTTGACGATAACTCTCGAGTCCCTGCCCAACCGGCGTATCACGTGAGCAGCCGATGAGCCTGTTATGTTTAACCTCCTCTTACGATGGCAAGATTTGCACTGCTGACTGCTGAGTATTGACTTATTTGACTACTGAGGCGAGAGTCAGGCTCAGGGCTGTCAGGCGACGACCTGTCGATCTCTAGACGTTCTAGTCTATAGAGTCTAGAATCTGCCGGACTACAGCTGCTTAGCAGCTTAGGTGCCAGGATGACAATGTCTATAGCTTTTAGATGGTTGATGTTGGCTCCAGAACTGATTTGAGCGTTAATTTGCTGGTCTACGGCTGCGCGCCCCTCAGTACCTTCTTCTTTTCGGGGTGTCTACACTGTGTACGGTAGACTTAAAGCCACAGGTCAACCTCGAGTCCCTCAGTTTCAATGATTCTGGCGACAATGGCGGACGTTCGGTAATGTTCTCGGGAATTTATTGCTCTATACGAAAGTTTTTCTTGCATTTGTCGAGTAAAATTCCAGGACTATAGTACAATAACAGGGACAAAAAAGGTGGAGACATTCGAGGGCTTAGTAGAAAAATTCTAAGAAATCGATGAAAGCGCAAACAGAGAAGCAGCCGTAAAATAATTGAAGGAGCATTTATACCGTAAACAATTGGGAATAAATAAAAAATCAATTCTATCTGGACGGGGCCGGATTATCAAAACATGCTAAGGGAGAAGAAGACATCTACAAGCAATATCTCTTGTATTTTGATTCCTTGCATTCCCTAAATAAACCAATCTCTTTTTTAACAAGGCACAATGCCAAAATTGACCAAAATGATGCCTTCGCCATGGCACGTCTCGGACAAATTTACGGCCGGACTCGTGGCCGGTCTCCCCAAATTCGGTGAGCATGGAATATCTCCCAAAGTATTTAACGTAGCACGATAAAAATTTGGCACACGTATTCATTAGGACCTAACGGTGATGTTTAGCACGTGGCAATGTTTTACGATTTTGCCTTCGTTTGCGAGTTATACGGTTTTATCTAATCTAAAAAATTGTCACGAGCTAAACATCGCCGTTGGGAGGTTAGGTTTCTATATTCAAAGTTTCGTTCAAATCTGTACAGCTAGTAGTTTAGAAGAAATGTCCTGCTCACTGCAAATTTCGGCACGTATCGTCATATAACTCACGAATGAATGTGAAATTCTAAAATGTTCACGAACTAAACATCACCGCTAAATCCTAATGAATACGTGTACAAAGTTTTATCGAGCTCCCTTCATTACTTTGGGAGATATTCCATGCTCACCGAATTTGGGGAGACCGGCTGCAAGTCCGGCCGTAAATTTGTCCGAGACGTCTCCATGGCGAGATCGCACAAAACTGAGCAAACTACTCAGATAAGTCGGCACCGTGTGGACGCTCTAAAAATTGCAACGATTTCATTCCGACTTAAAACTGCGCAGACAAATCTCCAACCGGCGTATCACGTGAGCAGCCGATGAGCCTGTTATGTTAAACCTCCTCTTACGATGG